TGATTAAAAAAGCACTTGTTTCCATTTTAAATTTGCACGCCCCCCCGCAAGGCTAATGTCTGCACCCCCAAACACCTAAAATCCAAATAGGATAGCCTCTATTTCTCTAAAGTCTCTTCTTTCTCTCTGTTTATCTATTGCCATTATAGCAGGTAAGAGCTGTATTATCTGCTTAATGAAAAAAAGAGAAACCTCCTAAGACTTTGAACAAAGTAAGAAGCTTCACTGAATAAGAGAGGAAAATTATAAAATCTACTATCTTTCATATATTCTAAAAACAACACAGAATTAAGGACTTTTAAATGAAATAAAATTTTTAAATAAAAAAATCTATAATTCACCTAAATAAAAGCATCTTTAGTTTGAGATAATCCTTCATATATCTATCTATATGTATATGGCATGTAAATCATAAAATGTAAATAATTTTTGTGCTTTTTATTTATTTTTAAATACTTTTATTTTTGTCTGCATACCATATGTAATTGATTATATAGTCCAATATTTTATTACTGACAAATATTTAAGCTCTTTCCAATATTAAATTAATATGAATATTCTGTTTTCAACATCTTCACACATATATATATAGTGTATTCCCCTTCTTATAACAAAGTCCCAGGCATGAGATGATTTGGTGTTGGCCTCTGGGTACTTCTCTTTGCTTTCTCCTCCCTTTTTTTTTTTTTTCCTACAGTGATGAGTCAGGGTCAAGGACAAGACAACTTTGTTGGACTGTTGTGTTAAGTAATGGAGTTTTCGGTGTGAACAGGGAAAGTGTTAAATCCTGAGCATGCATCAGGATCTCTGGCCTTCTCATGTCCTGCCATTATTCTTCAGATTTCCTTTGTCTTCTCCCACTGAGCTACAATAAATCATGCCTGGGGTGGGCAGGTTAGATCAGCATTGCTAAGAAATCAAGGGAAACTATCATTTTCTTATTTGTTTGCCTGCTTGCTTGTTCTCTGCCTCTAGAGTGATGGGCCATAATAAGGCTTAAGATTTAGGTGTGGGGTTGCAGGAAAAAAGCCCAAGCAGGTCACTTAAGATTGTTTTTGGTGTTGTAGAAAGCTTAGGGCTGCCTCCAACCTGGGTAGAGGATCTCTCCCTTTTGCTAACTTAGCTTACCAAGACCTACACTAGGGCGTGGAGTAAATGTTTGAGAGAAAAAGATCTGAAGTATATAAAGGGGGTAGCCATTCCTATACCCATACATGCAGGGAGACATCAGGAGAGTTGTGGTCCTATATGCTAAAAACTTTAAAAGTCATACTGTTTTCCTAATCATGTATTTAAGTAATGACATTAGCTGTTGGCACTTTACTGCCAAATGGATGGAGCAGAGCTGAGGATAAGACCTAGTCTATTTGTATTCTGGGCTTGGGCAGTACTTAACTCCAGATGTCCCAACCAAAAATGCAAGCTTGAATTCACAAACATCTCTTCTCCTCTCTGTGAAAAACTTTACTTGCAAATATTTGCATTCATCAACCTGGGCACTAACTACCAGCAAAACTGCTTCTTACTTCTCACCTTCTACAGGAAGGTATTCAATCATACCCATATCCCTACTATCAACATGTGTCTGCAAGAATGGTAGAGATTGTGATTTTTCTAACAGTGCTCTTCTGCCTGAAAAACAAGCAGGCATGGGGATGCATGACTTTGGCACCATTCCTACCAACTGGCTTCAACAGAAGTTGAAACTTGCACTTCTTCTATATACTGGCTGTCCACATAAGATTTGAGTTGAAATAAGTATTCTAATGCCTATTTTTACATAGTTTGAAAACTTGGTAAAATGCAAAGAAATGGGCTTGGGAATAAGTTGCAGTAGGACTCTCAGAATAACTCTGGGATCTTACATCACTGACAGGTAAGGACTATGATAAAGACAAGGCCTAACATGTTTTCTATTTTATTCCTTTCTCATGCCCTTCCTATTTTGGGGGAGAAGTTGTGACAATTTGGGGACTGGAGACAGGCTGCTTAAGTGTAATTAAGTGTGATTCTCACACAATTTGATATTAGTTCTGTGCTCTTGGCAAGCTTTTTAAACTCCTTGAGCCCGTTTCCTAGTTGATAATGCCCACTTCAGAGAGTTAGTATAAAGATTATGAGAAAATCCCTAGGCCTGTACCTGACACATAGTAAGTACTCAATAAACATTAGCTATACTAACACTTGTACAACAGAGTTTCAAGTAATGATTTCTGTCTTGCTAGTCCTTTCATTGTGACCTTTCAAGATCATGCCTCCCCTCTTCCCCATCCTCTGCTATGGTTCTGCTCCATTCCATCGTGTTGTTTGAAGGTAGCTATAACTTAAGAAATTGTGTCTGGAAACAACTGGCAGACGTTCCTAATGTGTAGTAACAAGCCCTGGAAAGATATCTACTTATAGCTGAAATAAAATCTGGCCTGCAGACTGAGATAGCCTTTGAGGAGAGAAAGAAAATAGGCCCAAGCTTCCAAAGCATTCTTCCCAGGCAAAGACAAAAGCCAGAGCTACATTTACAAGATAAGAAGGCTTTACTTCATCACAGTGCATACTATATTATGAGGCATGTAAACCAAGCAGGGACTAATCTGCTTTAAAGAATTGCAGTTCAGCAAGTTTCCTATTCTGGAAATCATTAAAATGATCCATGTGTGAATCAATGATAACCCTTAAGTCAAAAGTTCATATTCAGGTCAGGTAAGGAATATAAAAAATAGTAATTAAATTAATAAACTAGTAAAACTAAGGTGTTCAATCTATTAAGAAAAAAAATTTTATGACTCAAATTTTAAAACATAAATGCTTATTACAAACTCTATCAAAAAGATGGTCTAACTTCTAAAAAGTTAATTCCCATGGCTAGTGCTTTTTGTTTTTAATTTTGTTTTGCTTTGTTTTATTGAGATAGTGTTGACAAATAACACTTTATTAGTTTTAGCCTATGGCTGATTTTAAAAGTTCATGGTAAATCCTTTACAGTCCCAAATGTAATGACAAAGATTAATATTAATGTTACTTATTAAATGTTTTAATACTAGATAAAAATAAATGAGATATTCCAAATATTTTGATCCACCTAAGAAAATTTCTCACATCTTTCCACATAACATAGTCTCAGAATTTGAGGGAATGCAAAAATGTCAGGATATTTCCTCCACCTCAATTTTCTAATGAGTAAAATTAATAATAATAAGTATACAACTTTACCCATGTTGTGGTGGAGATGTGAGATTAAAAATGCAATTTGTGAGGTGGAAAGCATTATAGGAATTTAAGAAATTATAATACAGGATTTGCCATGTCCCAAATTCTCACCCAATGCTTGCCTACCCTTGGCTATAACAAGAGTAAATCCTGCTTCCCTTATATCTTGTTTCTTGTCTGACTCCTACTCAATTTCAAGATTGAACATAGCACTACCTCCTCTAAAAAGTATAATCTGACCACTGTAGGTTTCTCCTCCCTGTACTTCTGCAGCACCTTAAGCTAGTTTCAGCTCTGAAGATAGGGGGCAACACCTGTCTGTGGACAGGTATGATCATGGTGCAATTCTACATGACCAGCATCAGAGCCAGGGACCACCACTGCTATCACTCCACATGTAGTACTTCCAAGCTCTGCGTGCTTTATCTTCATTTGCGACCTCTGCCTTTTCCTAGCAAAGAGGATACTCCTCAAAATGCACATCAATCAGATTTTATTCAGAGACTCCATTACTTTTCTCTTTTTGTAAATACCCAATGATCTGTTTATTGTACTATCAATAGACACACTTACCTGGAAACTCATATAGAAACAATCTAAAACCCTTGCTGTTTTAAATATTTCAGAGCTAAAATGCTTTTCAAGGAAATTTATAAATATGTTTTTGTTGAAAAAGCCTTGGTATGAGAAGTAAAGAATCAGAACATTGTGGGAACAGTATGTCAGTATGACATGATGCTAAAGTTGATAAATAGAACCTTAAATTTTGGCTACACTGAGAGAGAAATTTTAGCGTGTGATAAGCAAGCAGGATAATGGCAGGATCTAGGTGGTAGTTGTATGAGTGTTCACTGCAAATTTTTTTTAATTTCACCAAATGTCTGAAACTTTCATAAGAAAATGTTGAAAACAATTCACACCACAGAAGCTACTAGATCTGATATTGCTCACCTGTATGGCTTAGACAAACCGCTTATATTCTGTAAGCCTCTATTTACTTACTAGCAAAGGAGATCATGTTTGTCTAACAGGGCTGCTGTGAGGATGAAATAAGGCAATATAAATGAAATCTCAGAAGCAGAGAGCCCTTCTGGAGTTGGTGGGTGGGGGTATAGGCCTTCCAGCTCCTTCTAGATTTACCTTTGTGAACATAGGATGATGTCTTTAAGTTTTTTTCACCTCACCAATTTCTCACAACCTACCGTTTGTTCTCAGTCTCCAAGCAAACAGTCATTTTCATATACTGATCTTCCTTTCGCTCTTCCAAAGTGGCAGACACAAGAGAAAGCTCCCCAAAGAGAGAAACCAGCCAGGTCAGGCGAGATGACACTGAG